TTTAAGTAAAGTTGGATTTTAAAATTAATATTAATTAATAATAATAAGGCAAAATAAATCTACAATTTATTGATTGTTATAACAATGCAAATGTACGAGTTATAAACGAGTAGCGTGTAAATAAATACATTATTCGAAAGAATTTGTCCACATCCACAATATACTTGAGTAATATATAGATTGTAAACATCAGACATTCATTTTACCCTGGCAACTCTTCACCATTGTTTACACGTATGAGTATGAAATTTTTAAAATAGTTGATCATATATATCTTGTTTCTGTGAGCCAAAAAAAATTTTAATCCAATAAATTTGAACTTACTTTTATATTTTGTACGTTGTTTTAATTTTGGCTTTGTTTTTGTCCAAATTCGGTAAAAACGATTTTAAAAATTCTTTATATTTACGTACGTTGCGTGTTGTGCGCTTCTATCAATTTGTATGAAAGAGAAAATAAATTAGATAAAGTCTAACGTTGTTAACACAAACTTATGAAACATTATCAATCTTCTTATCAAAACTGGTGTCGGCACCCAAACGGCTTAGCGAAAAACCAAATGACAGTTTACTCATACGTTCTTTCATTTCGTGAAGCAGTAAAAAACATGGCCTATTCCGAGATCGGCTGCAAAATTACTTTCCTAAGGAGGCCCGGTGGTTTGACTTGATACGGCTAAAAGGAAAATTCAGAAAGCCAATTTTCCAGAAATCCTCCAGTGATATTTAGCTGGAAGGTTTTTCAATTTTCCCTAAGGTGTTTTGGTCAGCAAGTGATCCGTGGATTATGACTCAATTGGATTGTCATAAGAGCGCAAGTCTTCGGGTTTTTCAGCAAATACATTGTTGTACGCAATGAAAGTTTCAGTAAATCGTCTTCATAACAAGTAGAAATTTGACAAATATCAGCAGAATAATTGAAACCGCCTTTTTAAATAGTCTCAAATTTAACGCTATTATTCTATTGAAAAATTGTTTTCTGGCTGTAAAAATATAAAATAATCGTGGGGTTGAACACGAACAAGAAAAATAAACGTTTTTGTCATTTTTAAACTTAAGATTGCATTTAGACTGCTTACTTTTAATCTTATTTGGGCCAAATGTCGTGTGCATTGTTCATTCGAGGAGGCCGAGAAGTTCATGATGTTTAAAAGATTGTTGTCATTAAAAAATCAAATAAAAAAATAATTTTGTTAACAAAACAAACGAATGCAAATTAAATTGCAGGGAAGGCCTTACGCTCGTACCCATCCGGCCCTTTCACCAAAGTGGCCCCGCAATTCCTAATTTAATTTCCACCCGGCAAAGTTTTTGCGTGTATATTTCTTTAATTCCCATTTGAAAAATTTCTCCTACTTACAATAATTTACTATTTTAAACAAATAAATATACCAAAATGAGTAAGTAATCAATGAACCAACGCTTAACAATTCCTCAAAAGATTATTGTTTAACTAGATTTTTGTTAAATTTTGCTTTTAAGTTCGATATAGATATTGCACTTAATATTTTATAAACGCCGTCAATTCTGTGTCGTAAGGTTTTGCTGTTTCTGCGCCTCAAAGGAAATAGCAAAGTAGTGGCAAAGTTGGTCAGTTTTATAAAAATTGCTGCAATAAACTTTCACAAAGGCTATCTTGTAAGTTAAGTTATTTTTACAATACAGGTTGAAGATTTACAATTTTTCCATCAGTTATAAAAGCTTTATTTTTTTAAGCCGTAGGGCATAATTAAACAAAATTACTGAAATAACAAAAAGATGATCTTACCCGAGAGGGCTGTACAACTCCGCCGCTCTCTCCTGCTTCTCCAAGCTTGTATTCCGATCAACAAATTGGGAGAAAGCATATGTTTAATGACGAATGGGGTGTCTAAATTAAGAAGGAGGTCAAAAATGAAATAAAAAGAAAATGAGGTTCCAAAATCTTATAAAATAAATAATAATAAATATTTAGTAATATTATACATTATAAAAATAATAATGATATAATAAAACTTAAACATAAAACATAAAAAATGTGGATTAACGTGAGTTGTGACGAAAAAGCATACTGGGGTGGACGAAACTAAGACGATAGAAGATTTTTTTTAGAGAGAGAGATAGAACAAAAAGAGAGAGGCACACAGAAAATTATATAGAGTGAGAGAGAGAGAGAGAGAGAGAGAGAGAGAGAGAGAGAGAGCACTATTTATCGTATACTTTAGTAAGAATTGTGGTGTTAATATAAGACTTTGTGGTGGCTAGAAGGTTTCATAAAATTAGAATTAAATTTTAATAATGTTATTATTAATATTTTGCATTAAAGTGTCACAAACGATTTTATTGGTACGGTGGTGTGACATCTTGAAATTTTCTTAAATCTAGACAGCATGTCGATCTAGATGGCACGTGTAAAAAAACAGTTGAAAAAGCTACATTATCAGTTAGTGACCAGTGAATTAAACTATAATAATTCTATGGTTAGCATAGTACATTAAAGTGTAATAAACAACTTTATTGGGACGGCGTTGTGGCATCTCGTATGTTTCGTCAAATCTAGAGACGGAATGTCGATCTAGATGGCACTGGTAAAAAAAAAACAGTTGAAAACGTTACAGATTGTTAGGTACTGACCAGTGAATTAAACGAGAGTAATTGTATTGTTACATTGCATATTAAAGTATAATAAACAACTTGTATTGGGACGGCGGTATGGCCTCCAGAATTTTTCAGTTAATCTAGATGGCTGAGGTGAAAAACAACTGAAAAGGGTATATTTTATAAGTTATTAAATTCAACTATAACAATTCTATCAATGTGTATTAATTAACATTGTGTATTAAACACTTATAAAGAAGCTCCATAACTGCAAATCGCTCTTCTTAAAATTTACTAACTTCAGAAGAGTCTTTCGTCTTTTTGTCTTTCTCTAATTTTAATAGAATTTTAATAAATAACGTTTTTAAAGCTGTAAATGGGAAAGTAACATGTTCAAGGCATTCCATCGAAATTTTCGCACGTTTGGACAGTTTTATTTTCAAATCCGTGTAAGTCAAGATTTGTTCGCTCAATGCAAAAATAGTTGCACTTGTCGCTTAAACGTTTCTGAACAAACAGAATGAGTGAAGCGTGAAGCCGGCTATCTAGTTTCAGGTGCGGATGATGTGCACAATTTGTCATGAGTTAACAACGCGGTAATCCACCCACCGCCAAGGATTTATTTATGCAACCTACGAGCTAATGCTCTTGTAATGGACTCCCCGTACTTGTTTCTAAAAGCGTATTAAAGCTTAAAACTATAAAACTAAGAAAACTGCAATTTAAATTATAATCAAAGATATTACTCAAAAATGACTAATTTTATTCTTTTTGCACCTTTCATAAGTACAAAAGAATATATACTATTATAAATAAAAATTCTTTTTTTACGTAGTTTTCATTTGGACTTTAGTCGTATAAGCCGGTGTTATTTTTTCGGTGTAGATGGTGTGGCCTCTACACCCGAAAAAAAATCACACCGGATTAAAAAGTCCATGTGTGCTAATTTACTAATTGTACAACTTGGCAATAGAAAATGCCGTTTATTGAAAAGAAATTGGGTCAGGAAGGGACACAATGGTGTGCAAATATATTGCGAGGATTCTCAGAATGTCACTCAGGTTTATTGCTAAAGAAGAACGTGACACTACTGAATTGCTTACCCCGATCGGTCCCATTCCTTTATACCCGATTAGGGGTTTTTCAAATCTGGAAAAATACAAGCTAGTAATAATCCGGAGAAAGAGACGGTATTTCAATGAGCTGCAAGTTAAAAGAAATTAAACTTAACACCTTTCTTTATTTTGAATTCGCTTGACAGAACCGCTGAGGGACAAGTCTAATAACGCCGGTGCTCAACAACGACAGAAAGAAAAACTTGCGAGATAACCCGGTATAAATTATCCGCTTTTGGCTCTTTGACTTATTTCTCCTTCAAAAAAGGATGAGAGGATTATTTAAACATTGGCCATGAATTCAACGAAAGTTTCAAATAAATGCTTACTCGATCATAATTATTACAATTTCTGATTTATTTTATGAATTTATAACAAATGTTTAGCTAAAGCGATACAAACACATTATAAATCAATTAGATGACGTTTTGAACCGTATAATGTGAAACTGCTGATTATAAAATATGCCGCTTTGTGAAGGAAGGGAAGAATGCATATGGATTATAAATCTGCCCACACTTGATGGAGATGTAGACAATTTATTACTTATTTACATTTAATATTAGTTTCATTCCACAACTTTTTTACTGTTAAACTATGCATGTAATATATGAAAATTACTTGACTTTCAAAAATTGTCATACCAGTCTGAATTAACATTTCACCATTACTATTTTATCCTGAATATGACAAAAGCAAAAACTGTTCGAACATTTTGTTTAGAATGCCAATTTTGTTTCTTTTCACAAATTCCTTATAAGTTTAACTGCTAACTGTTAAACCGTTATCAGATCAATTTCAAAATAATAATATTAATCTGTCGTGATTAGCGACCGTTAGTCTATGATTATTTGGAAATCGTGAGATGCGGTCTGGTGTGACGTAGGTTTCAGAAAAACATTTTCTTTATCGTACCAACGTTTCGATCTTTAATGAGATCATCTTCAGCGACTGGGATTTACAAACATCGGCCTTCTTCGTGTTTTTATTTCTTTTCCTGGTCTTTCAGGTGTATTTTGTTTTAAACTCTTTAAAATTGGACCTTCGACCTGGTTACTTAGTCTATCCTTTTAAATGTATGCTTGGTCGATATCCTAAAATGCTAGCCTCTCGTTTGTACCTCGTTGTCACCTACAGAAACATACAACACATATATACACATCACCATAAACCTAGAAGTCTGATCACATCACTCATTGACAAATTGAACTATTTACAAATATTTGCCAGAAAATATGATAGGATGGAAAAATAGAAAACTGTTGTACACTTTATAGGGATGTTTTTAATAAACTTATGTCATTTTCAGGACTACCTTCGCCATCATGCTCTCTGATCAAGTACTCAAGTTGGGATGAGGTGAAGCACACGGACATCGGCGTGAACTGGTCGCCGCTAGAATTCACACCTTCAATTATTACAAGAATGAGGTAACATAAGATCAATTCATAATTAATGGCAGATTTTTAAATGAGTTACAAAAGTTCGTTAGCTTTTCCTGTTATGTCGAGCTTGGTGTACGGTCGAGATGTAAGCGGATTAGGAAAAAATCTAATTATAATACAAATATCAAACGTTTGTTCTGCGAGAATTTTAGTCAAACCCACTCATCCGCGTCCAATTGCCATGTACGAGACAAATTACATTGTAAACTACTGTTGACAACTTAAATTTAGTTACGAACAGCAAAGGATAATTCTTAATACTGTATATTACAGCGTAACAAAACATTATTACTATATATTTCAAATAAATACATAAATAATAACGACCGTTATACAAATCTGGTTATTATGTTTCAATTTTGAGATATTTTTATTTAACAATCGAAAATATTTTAACTGTAATCTACTTCACATTCTCACCTTATGTTCCTGCACAATGAGATTGGTTATACTTGCTAAGAAAATTAATATGAATTTGTTGATTATATTCTCATATCGTCGTTAAAATAATAATAAATTTGACTGTTCATGTTCCAAGTACATGACATTGACAATTTGATATTTTGAAAAAAAAATCAATTTCATTTTTAAAAAATAGCAGATCAGAAGCATAAGGCAGATTGGAAAAAAAACTCTCACTACCTTCGTCGGGTTTTCAAAGAATACCCTTTCGTCGGAACTTTGGAATTATAATTTGTTAATTCATTAAATTAAAATTTATTAAATAATCTTGGTCTTGGTATTGATCGATTGGATAAAACAACAAATTCAATCTGCCTAGCTATCGAAATAAGGTCACCATCAGGGCCTACATTAATTTTATTATTGATTGCATGCATTTATTATTATATTAAATTATGAAGACATATTTTACTATCAATACAACTATACAGATCTTAAAAAATTTTTAAAGATATCTACGAATTAAATCTTACTCCGAGAAATATCGAGTACTCTGGGTTAGTTAATGTGTGAATGTAATTTACCAGTACGAATGAAGGGCTTATCTCCAATTACCTCAAGGAATATCGAACACTCTGGGATGCTGTAAACAAAGTTTGGTGTGTGAATGTATTTATTAGCGTGAATGGGAGGAATTATGTCTAATTACCCCGAGGAATATGGAATACTCAGGGGTAGCGTGAATGGATTGTGGTTTGAGAATGTAACTTATCAGTATGAATGGAGGTACTCATCCTAATTACCCCGAGGAATTATGGAATATGGAAGCAATATGGAATACTCTGTTGCGCTACCCAGACTATCATGTTTTTCGATAGTTTACTCGAGTAGTTACTCCAACCCCCTCGGAGGGTAACGAAAAGACGGACGAGGCGGGAAAGGCCGGGACGTCACAACCTCCGGAATTAACCACCGCAATCCTGCTCTCTATAGCCAAAAGTACAATCTATCAAGTACTCTAGGGTAGTGTGAACGAAGTCGAAAATGCAATTGTAATTTACTAGCGAGAATAGAGGGGCTAATGCCCAATTACCCTGAGCCATGTAGAGTGAATGAATTTACTAGTGCGCCTATCGGGGCTCATCCCCAATTAACTTGAGGAATATCTAGTACTGTGGGGAAGTGTGGACGAAGTCTAGTGTGTGAAAGTAATTTATTAGCGTGAATGAAGGGGCTTATGCTCAATTACCCCGAGGGATATCTGATACTATGGTGTGGTGTGAATGCTAACCAGAACATCGTGTATTTACCTTTCTTATGTGTTTCTATGTATTGGTGCTGTATTATCCACAATTGCCGAGGCATTGAGATACAGAGAGGATAGCAATAGGATAAATAAAAGAGTTGGTTACCGTTATATCATAAAAAAACGTAACTTGGGTGGAAAAAAAGCCCAACAAATTAGTAGGTTTAAAACGCGAGAAAGATAAGAAAAACAAAGCTAACAACGAGAGGGCTGGCAGTGACCAAGGAAATTTGCCGTCCATAAAGCTTAAAAAAGTCTAGAAATTGATATTATTATGTTCAAATAATTTTGAAACCTTTTATCAACAACTTAGTTATATCAATTATTAGTCGTGAATCAAGATTATTCGTGGTTATAGTAATAAATACTACTAGCCAATAGGCAGGTTCTCTGTCGAAACTGTAGTTGTGCTTTTGTTGTAGAGAACTGGACTTTTCGGCAAAACGATTATGGTCATTTGGGTATGTCACAACCTCTGGAATTAACCACCGCAACCCTGCTCTCTGTCGTCAAAAATGCTTTTAGAAAAAAGATTAAATGGACCTGGCAGAGTCAGTGGGCGACAGAGAAGCTCTCAATCAAAAGCACTATCGATAGGTGGCCCTCGAAGGAAGGATCTGACTCATATAAGAGGGATCATCCACACTCAATTATTATATAATATTATTGATATTACATTATTTACATTATTGTTCCATTTTGTATTATTATTGTGTATTGTGTTTATTAATATTAGGCTTATAGCAATCTTTTATTACAGAGAATTACGAAATAGGATTTTAAAAATTAAATTAATCGTCCAATAAACAAGATTACTTTATTATATATAAAGGTTACTTTTTAGATTAAAAAGATAAGTGCATGTACTCTAAGGGATGGACGTTATATTTTTGTTAGAAAATGGTCAGTATTCAAGTCGTGATGAAGGGAAGAGTTGGATTGGCGGAGCTCAAAAAACTGAGTCCCAATTAGCTACTTTAATTTAACATAAAATTACAATATTGGAAGTTGATCCTAATTATATTGGATATAATAACAACTTGATTTCAATAATGAATATAATTTGTCATTAATTTAAAATTAATTGAAATTAAAATTCAGGAGTTTTATTTCCACCAACCGGCGGTAATGAAATATTATGTCAAACCTCTTTTTTCCTCTCTTTTGCCACAATTGCATTGTTCTCATCCCCGATCTGCGGCCTAGGTTATTCTTACGAGTTGTATTCACAATGCCGATGACTTAGTTAAGCTCCCGTTTTGCTGATAAGATCATAAAGTGGGAAGGTGGAGTGGAAGGGGTGAAAAAGCCAAGGGAAAAAGTTCAAATAAGGGCTAAACTTGATGTCAAGTTGGAAACAAAAACAACATTTATAACTCCTGCCGGGACGGAAGAGGCTTGGACCGCTGGTAAAAATGTTATAAACAAAATCCTGTCGCAGTTTTGTAATTTTAGTTTTTTTTTTACGAATTTAAAAACATAAATAGAGATATATTTGAATTTTGTTGCAACAATGACACAACTAATTGTAAATTTTGCTACTATTAAATATGTATGATTATTAAACAAAAAACGATACAAAACCTGGAATATGAATTTTTAGTGACTAAATGTAGATTAACGTAAGAAAAACAAATTGGAATGCTAATAACTTTAACTTATTTCACTATGTACTAATAACGAAATGTTATATTTACGGTTCGACATTTTTAAAAGATTCATAATCATTAAAATAAATAAAATTATCCTCATTGCTTTCGAAAATATATTTCAGAAGGGATATAGCTAATCTTTGATAGGGGTGAAATGACCTTAGCCATTAAAACGATCTTAAATATTAATAATATAATTAATATATAAAAGCTATTTACCATCACTTTTAAATCTGATTTAATCTAAATCCAAAAGTGTGACTGGTTAAAAATATGAAAAACGGTTGATATTAAAATAACTACACCATATATTTCCATTAGTAACGTTTAATTAGTTTAAATTTATTCTTCAAGCATGTATATATTTTATGGGCTGACAAACATCAAGTGGTCATCGCCGATCCTCTGCGCTTTTTTTTCACGCATCTTTGTCACGGACTCTCCTATTTTGTGAGCTATTTTCTTACTTGCTAAATGTCGAGTCACATACATCAGTGACGTGACAGTGTCGTGACCGGCATTTTGTTCCAACGGGGGGGTTTGAAAATATTCTTCTGGGAAACTGAATGGCTTTGTTCACACTCGTGTTCACGCGACCGTGGCCGTGCCAACAGTGCTGCCGTTGTGACCGAACCGTGATCGTCGGATTCCTTCAGTTTTCACGGCCATACAACATGAATGACGAAAAACTCATTGAGTCGGTGCGAAATAATCCTGTGTTGTTTGATCATGCTAATTCAAAATACCTGGACTTAGATTTGAAGCATATTCTCTGGAGAAAAATAGGAGCAGAAATGAAAACAGATGGTGAGTAAAGTACGTGTACATTTCAGTAATGTTTGCATTATGGATAGCAACAGGGTATAATAAATTATGAACTACGGTTAAAACTTGTTGGGTATTTGATAACCACGGGAGAAATCCAGCATCAGAATTGAAATAATCCGCGAATATTTCTCATAAACGAAATGCATCTGTCGTTGCGTTCCCTCCCTGTAAATGTAAATTTTGTAGTGTTCGACTTTCAATCCTCGAATCCACTGGGGACGTAACGTAATAATACGTGCGTACATCGTATTTCTTATTGTATTAAGAAGATTAAATCTTAAGTTGTGCAGCAAGCAAAATTTTGCTCCATCATCCACTAATTCTTTGTAAAACATAGGAAATTCCCATTTGTCCCTCTTGTTCCATGTTTGATGGACCCACTTCCGTTTTCTCACCTGTGGTTCCTCTTCTTCATTCAAGATCAGTGCGATAATGAAAACTTTATCATCTGAAAACATTGCCATTTTGGCCAGTCAAGTCCACTTCAAGGCTCGGATCAAACACTGACCAGTGTGAATAGAGAGCCCTTTACGATTACAGTATGACGAATAAAGGCCGTCACGACACGTGTGTGAATCGACCTTAACTCTCGAAGGTTGTCAAATTGTTATTAAGAGAACGAGAAAACAAAAACCCATAAGACATATAGATTTTCACGCTCCCTACTTCCTGCGAAAGAACCGAGAGACCTGCACCTCCGGCCGAAACACTCGGGCGATCCGGAGAAACCCCCGGCGCCGTGGTCTTGTCACATTCCTACCCCAGATTACTCGACATTCCTCGGGGCGGGCTTAAAC